CAGACTCAGGTAGCCGATCGCAGAAAGATAGATCTCTCAGTGAATCTGTGATTCTGTGAGCAACTCAATTTGCCTGCCTGCTTTGCCTGATTTTGGGTAAAAGTTGCTCTTTTCTTTTATAAACAATATCAATATTCACATACATGGGGTGTTGTGAGTTAATTCTGTGAGTTTGCTCGCAAATTTTATGTGACAGACTCAGGTAGCCGATGGCAGAAAGATAGATCTCTCAGTGAATCTGTGATTCTGCAAGCAACTCAATCTGCCTTCCTGCTTTGCCTGATTCTGGGTAAAGTTGCTCTTTTTAATAAAAAAATTCAATATTTACATAAATATTTATAATATTTACATACAAGCCGTACCCAGCCAGTCACATGACCACCAAGCCACACCCACAAATTAGGCCACACCCAAGAACTGATTGTTAAGAAATTTGAACCTCATCTCTACTTCTGTGTGTGGGTGAGAGAGAGAGAGAGAGAGAAAGAGAGAGGGAAGGAGGGAGGGAGAGAGAGAGAGAGGGACGGAGGGAGGAAGGGAGAGAGAGAGAGAGAGGGAGGGAGAGAGAGAGAGAGAGAGAGAGAGGGGGAATCAGAAAGATTAAGAGAGGGAGGGAGGGAGGGAGGGAGAGAGAGAGAAGGACAGAGGGAGGGAGGGAGAGAGAGAGAGAGAGAGAGAAGGACGGAGGGAGGGAGAGAGAGAGAGAGAGAGAGAGGTTAAATCAGATCTCTCTCACTCTCCCACCAATGTCAGCAAGCCACCGTCAGTCAAAATTCATAGTAGTGGTCCCCAGGATTTAAAATTATGAGTTTGGTGGTCCCTGAGGTCCAAAGGTTTGGCCACCCCGAACCAGACACCCCCCCCCGATGCATGGAGGGGGTGAGGGTACGGGCAAAACTTAGGTTTGCTTTCAGTTTGGAAGCCAAGGGGACACCTTAAACCAATTTTGAGATGGCAGGACTTCAAGGCTCAAAATTCCCAAGCCAGAAATGTAGGAGACGTTGAGTTCTAATCCTGATTTAGGAATGAAAGCCGGCTGGATGACTTTGGGCCAATCCCCAGGAGACAGTGAGTTCTAGTCCCGCCTTGGTGGGTGACTTTGGGCCAACCCCTCTCTCTCAGCCGAATCCACCTCCTAAAGTTGTTGTGAGGAAAATAACAAAAGGAAGGCATGTCGGTTATGTCCAGCACCTTGAATTCTTTGTAAAAAGAATAAAAGTGGGATACAAATCAATAAAACCATAATACAAATCTTTCCCCGCATGCTGTCCTTTCAGGATACCGCCGAGGAGTCGTGTGCGCTGATATGCCAGGTTTTCCAGATCATTTACGGTGACCAAACCATTGAGTGTGTGGATCGGGCTGGCTACCATTACACCTCCACCCCAAAACGTCCTTGGCTGTCCAGCCGGAGTGAGTAGAACTTTCAAAAGTTCTGACTGGATGAACCCAACCCAGCAAGCGTTGACGTGACGATCCGATCGCATAATGCAAAACTTTGTTGAGTACATTATTTCGGCACAGAATGAAAGCAAAACCAGCTCTGGCTAATTCCCGGGCAATTCGATATAATTAAAGTATAGAATCCTCCCTCCCGCCATTAGTGAGGGGTCCCGTTGTCCAATTAAGGGTCACAATATTGTTTTGAGAAGATGTCTTGAAAGTCTGGCCAACACCTGCCTCAGTGACCTTGGTTCTCATGGGTTTGATGCAGGGGTGGGATTCAAAAATCCCAACAACCGGATCTCTTCCCCGTTGCTGGGTGGGCGCCATGGCCATGGTGGGCGTAGCCTATTGGAATTTCCTGGGAGAGCCATTTTTTTTCACATTCCCCAGAGTCCTAAGGCTTCACTCAGGCCTCTGGGAGGCGAAAATGGCCTCCGCCAGGCTCCATAGGCCGTCCAGAAACAGGCCCATTTCAGCAAGCCATTTTTCACCTTTCCCAGAGTCCGGAGGCTTTCCTCGAGCCTCTGGGAGGATGAAAACGGTCTCCCCCGGGCTCCAGAGGCCCTCTGGAAGCCAGAAACAGGCCCGTTTCCAGACTTCCGTTACTTTCACGAGGGCCGTTTTTCTCCCTCCCAGAGCTTCTGCGCGGGCCCTGCATTTACCCGCATCCAAAATGGGACGGGTGGAGAATCCCTGGAGGGGAGAGGCAAGATGGGCAGGGCCATCCGATCGGTTCAACTACTACCGGTTCGGTAAACCAGATGTAAATTTAACCCCCCGGTTCACCCGAATCAGCCCGAACTGGCTGCATCCCACCCCTGGTTTGATATTTAAAAACTCACGTTCCGATTCCCCCTTCCCTCTCCCCATTAGTACAGGTCACATCACCCAATTAAGTGTCACCATATTGCTTTGAGAAGAGGTCTGGAAAGTCTGGCCAACACCTGCCGCAGTGACCTTGGTTCTCACGGGGCTGACTCCTCGATATTTAAACCTCACATTCCAATGGCCCCTTTCCCTTGTTAAACGAGGATTATCTGCACAGGCGACAAATATTGACTGAAGTTGGAAAATCAAAGATCCTGGTCTTGCCCCCCTCGACCTCATCACCTTGTGGTTCTCCTTTCCCAGGTGAGAGCTGTCGGACCGATGGGACGTACGGTTATGACGCTGACTTCAGCTGCTGCAGCTCTTTGTAAGTCCTGCTCTTGTGACGGCCGACGTCCAGCGGGAGCGTTCCTTTTTCTTCATCTTTCTTCTTTCTCTGTTTGTTTTTCTTCTCCTCCAAAATTAAATCCTCCTAGCGGGGATTCTTTTAAAGAGAGAGGGGAATTGCCAGCCTGGCCCCATACGTCCCTTTCCAAGCCCCCACTGTGACCCAGAACAGAAGGGGGACCATTTGGTATATAGTCAAGTCACGGCAGCCAACTCGGCACGGCCAAACTTACCGTGGGACAAGTCAACAATTCAGCATTTAAAATAATGGTTACGATATTGTATTTCTTGTCGTTCACATCTCCTTTTGTCTCTCCTTCGACATCCAATCAATTAGAATAGAACTGAAAGGGACCTTGGAGCAGGGGGTGGAATTCAGCCGGTTCGCACCGGTTCACAAGAACCGGTCGTTAACTTTCTGAGCAGTTTTGGCGAACTGGTTGTTGGAAGACATCATTAGCGCAGAGAACCGGTTGTTAAATGATTCGAATCCCACCGCTGCCTTGGAGGTCATCTAGTCCAACCTCCTGCTCAAGCAGGAGAGAGACCCTTGGCCTGTACCCATTCACACACATTCTCTTCTTAAAAGCCTCCAGAGAGGGAACACCCACAACTTCTAGTGGCAAGCTGTTCCACGGGTTAATTGTTCTCGCGGTCAATAAATTTCTCCTTCGTTTTACGTTGCTTCTCTCCTGGGTGAGTTTCCATCCGTTGTTTCTTGTCCTGCCTTCCGGTGCTTTGGAGAATAGCTTGACTCCCTCCTTTCTTTGGGGCAGCCCTTCAGATATTGGAAGGCTGCTTTCGTTTATGCTTCTTCATCACCGGACATTTAACCGGAACAGAGCTGGAAGGAGACCTCAGAGATCTTCTAGTCTAGCCCCCATGGCTCAAGCAGGGGACCTTCTACCATTTCAGACAAGTGGCTGTCCAGTCTCTTCTTAAAACCCCCCAGTGATGGAGCACCCACAACTTCTGGTGGCAAGCAGTTCCTCTGGTCAGGAAGTTTCTCCTTAATTCCAAATTGCTTCTCTCCTTGATTAGTTTCCATCCATTGTTTCTTGTCCTGCCCTTCTGGTGCTTTGAAGAATAGTTTGACTCCCCCTCTTCCTTTAGGGCAGCCCCTCAAATCCTTTCTGTAACGATGGGAACCGTTAGCCCATCACCACTAGAGGGCACCAGACCCTGGGAAATCTTTAGATCTTTAGACCCCCCCTCCTCCTCCGCCGCCTACCAGATAATATTTTTTTTTCCTAGCAAATTCTGAACGATTTTCTATTTTATTTCATATTTTATGATATTATTTTATTTTAGTGATTTTTTTTAAATGAATGGTCATCCTCGACTTCCGACCACAATTGAGCCCTGTTGCTAAGTGAGCCAGTGAGTTTTCCACCATTTTACGTCCTTCCCTGCCATAGTGGTTAAGTGGATCGCCGCAGTTGTTAAATTAGTCACCCCGTTGTTAAGTGAATCTGGCTTGCCCATTGGCTTGGCAGAAGGTCGCAAAAGGGGATCAGGCGACCCCGGGACTCTGCAACCATCATAAATGTGAATCAGTTGCCGAGTGTCCGAATTTTGATCACGGGGCCATGGGGATGGTGCAACGGTCATAAGTGTGAAAAATTGTCTTAAGTCACTTTTTATGCAGTGCCATTGTAACTTTGAACAGTCACTAAATGAACTGTTGAAAATTGAGGACGAGCATATCATATTTTATTTACTTATTTACTATTTTATTAATTTATTATATTTATTATTTTATATCACCATATATCATATATTACAGTGTATTATATTATTATACTATATTATATTACAATATTATAGTATGGTATGGTATAGTATAGTATAGTATAGTATAGTATAGTAATTAGTATTATATATTATATTATATTATATTATATTATATTATATTATATTATATTATA